TTCTTAGTATCCTTATTAAAGAAAGAAAATTATCATGTTGATGCATCTACGAGTACTTTCAACATTCGCACAATGTCATCATCAGGTTGTTTTTTTTTTCTAATATAAAATTGTTGTATTCATCTGAAAATGAAATTTATACTTCTGAGGTAAAAAACATTAACATACTGTACGATTTTAAAATTGTATGATGTAAACACACGACAAATATCAAGGAAGGTTCACTAAGTTATTGAAATGTCTAAATCTCTCAACATTTACAACAGCATACCTGTCCGCATTCGCATACCTGTTCGCATTCGCAATTTAGGAAAATTCTTGTTGAAAATAAACCTATAGATTTCATGAAAAAAATAAATATAAACTAAAAATTCTCGAAGCTATCGATGTTAAAATATTAAAGCCAACCTTTAATAAAATTAAATGAATACTGCACAAAATTAAACAGTTTAAAATGTTTACAGTAGATTATTTTAAATATTTAGGTTTTAACTAATAGTTTTAAATAGTTTCTTTTTTAATACTTAGACATTTCAATAACTTAGAGTCTGTCTATATTTCTGAGATGAGGTATTATGTATAAAATTTCTAAATTAGTCGGACTATTGTCCTCATCTTTGTCGCCATATTTGTCACAACGTTTCAATAACCACGCTCCGGCCTTCTTCAGGTGGTTGGAATCTCGAACTGAACCCTTTATTTCGCTCACTGGGGTAGACTGTTCTAGTTAAACGTGCCATGTTTAATGGATAAAGTTATCAGTTATCTCCTGCTAATTTTCCCTCTGAAAGTTCTCCAATTTTGTTATGGTAATTGATTTTTATTTTTGGGTCTGTTACTGGATCTAACCAACGCCTTTATCCATGTGCCATGTGTCCATGAGGACAACGGCCGAAACGTGATTCAAATATGGCAACAAAGACGAGGACAATAGTCCGAAAAATTTAAATACTGTTCAATAACTTAGTTACCTCCCTTGACGTTTGTCGTGTCTTTACATCATAAAATTTAAAAATCGTACCTTAGCGTTTTTCACTTCACTTATGTTTTTAAAGTCGGATTGACGAAACGCGTCAGCAATGATTAAGAAATATTTTCCAATATATATATATATATATATATATATATATATAATTATTTATTTTAAAAAATTATAACATAAATATGTTATAAAATCACTAAAAAAAATAGCCATTTTGTTTCAACACCCCCGGTGTCTTATCAAGTGATGATGTTGAATGTAAAATAAATGGTTTTAAAAGTTTCAAATTAATTAACGATCCTTCGCAAGGGGAAAATGTTGTTACAAAAGCTAGATTGACCAATCAAAATACAAGTATAGGAAAATTCAAAAAGCTTGACAACGAAGTCATGTTATAATAGCTATTCAGATCTTTAAAATACGGGTAATATTAAAAAAGAATTTATTCTAAACAATAATTATGAAATTATATGATAAAATTTGATATTAAAATTAAAAACTGCCAATTTTAAAATCCAAATTTAATCGCTATTAATTTTAAAACTATAAAATTACTTAGGAAAAAAGAAGAATACATATGTTATTCAATTTATTTCTTCATTGAAATTACGTTAGAATAGACGCTAGTAATATGTCATCCGGTCCGCTGACAATATATGTATATCCCAAGTGTGTGAATGGGGTTCTAAACTCACGCGTAAAACAACACAAACACAATCAGATTATGCATTTTGTATGTATGTATGTATGTATGTATGTATTTATATGTGTGTGTGCATGTATGTAAACCGGGATTAAATACAAAAACCGTATAGATAAAAAAGTACACCCGATTACAAATTTATAAATATATAGGTATATTGCTACACAAATAATGTAAGCAAATCACATATCGCTATTAATACCTTGTGATACGAGTTTAATTCGTTTCTAGACCGAGATCGTGACTTAAAAAACTGGTATCTCAAATCAGTTTTAGCCACTGAAATTAATGGGAATGTTTCCGATCCGTTCCAGGACTCTAAGAATCACCCTTATTTTCTCAAAACAAATTGTAAAGATATAAACTCTACTAAACCATGAAGTTCAGACGAGTCATAGGCAAACTGATGGAGGGGTGGGGAGAGAGAGAGAGAGAGAAAGAGTGGTGGGGGCGGTCACAACAATAACAACAACTAGCCGAGTCTACGATACCCAAGATTAATTTTATCACTTAATTTTACATTTTTTTTAAAAACATTTACATTTTATCCATTACTCTAACTAATCATTTTTAAATTTTATAATTTGTTTATTTATCGTCGCTGTAGAACGCTAATAGTGTCTCGCCACGTCCATTACTTGTATGTCTTCCTGGATGTTCGTTTTTTCATAATTTCCTGCGTTGTCTCAAATGAAATCATACGTTTCGGTTTTTCACCTCTGCTTTTTACACTTACATTCTTCGAACCCATAATGTCACTAAAGAAATTTTGCAAAAATAACGGCAACAAGATACAACACAAGAGAGAAACACGTGTACTGTGAGTGGAAATACACTGAAGCTTGACGCTCACTGCGCCAATTAACGGATGCTTAAGTGAAAACTCGTTCAGATCTCAAAATTCAACTCGGATCTAAAGACAAAAAATCAGGCCAACTCCGGATCGTATCTCAAAAATTTCGTATGTCGGTACGCTTGTATCTCAAGACATTATATATATATATATATATATATATATATATATATATATATATATATAAAGGCTGTTCCAATAACTTGGAGCGATTTTCATGTGAATTAAGTTTAAGCGTCTAATGATTTTTTTTTTTCTTTGAGATTTGGGACATTTGGGAGATATTATTTAAACACATAATTGCCATGACTTAAAACATGATCCTATAGAGAAATAAATAAATTTTCACCAATAACACTGATTTATTTCTGCTGACTTTCATCCGTCAATGAAACAAACTTATATATAATCCGTCTTCATGAAACAGTACACACACACGCGCGCGCGCGCACACGCACACACACACATATATATATATATATATATATATATAACTTATTTCCATATAGAGTGTATCTGTAAAGGAATAAAATGAGTAAAAAACGAGGAAAAACTTTTCTTAGCCGAAATGTTTTGTCCTCTGCCTTCAGATGACAGAACGCGTCGGCTAAAAATAGATTTTCCTTTTGTCGCTCTTTATATATATATATATATATATATATATATATATGTGTGTGTGTGTGTGTGTGTTTGTGTGTGAATAAAGACAAAAGGGATATTTAACGCGACGGCTAAGATGATTTTCCTTTAGCCTTTATTCATATTGTTCTTTACAAATATATATTTTTGTTATATCTAAAATTTTACACACACACACACACACACACACATATATATCTGATAAAAATATAGTTTTAAAGTATATTATATTAATGGGTAAAAGCGCATGATATCACAGATACAGTGTATGTAAATACGAAAATGGATACCGAGGTCCACACTAAAGGGCGACAGTCGTTTTCATGCTTGAAGGCAATCGTCATGGCCTTGAAAATAAATGCGTTCCAGTTCGAAACAGATTGTCGCTGATTAGTGTTGACCTCAGTATCTACTTTTTCACACACACGCACACACACACACACATATATATATATATATTATGAAATGGACAATTATTTGAATATATTCTGTTTATACGTTATTTTTATAGATACAAATATTTAAGTATAATAAACAGTATCAAACAACATTTACCGTCCTAAATGTCTGAGAAATTTCATAGAAAATATGAATTCTCTGACAGGAATCGAACCTGTATCCTACACGAAACCATCATATAGACTGACGTGGTATACCATTTAGCTACAGAGGAAGTGTCTGGTTAGCAAAATAGAACATTTGCTTAAATATTTGTATCTATAAAACAAAGTATAAATAGAATATATATATATATATATATATATATATATATATATATATATATATATAGGAAAGAATGAGCAGGTTTGAAAGAGTCTGCCCTACTGAACGCTCCTCTATGGCGAAATCGGTAAAAGCACGTCAGGCTATATGACGGTTCCGTATAGGATACACTTCGATTCCTGTCAGAGGACGTATATTTTCCATGACAATTTCTCGGACATTCAGGTCGGTAAATGTTGTTAATACTCTTTATTATAAACAGAGCATTTACTTAAATGTCCTAAAATAATTGTCGGACTTTGTCCATTTCACAATATATATATAATCAATACTTATATATATATATATATATATATATATATATATATATACTGATATTATTTCTATTTGTCAGGTTTTAACATAAATCATTGATAATGAATAAGTAAGGGACCTTTCCTGACACCACAACTGGAATAAAAAGCCAATAATATTGTAAAAAAAACATGGATTTCCTTTGTTCTTGGAAAAGTTCCAATGATGTAATATTATGAATGCTAATAAAGATATTTTATGAGGGAAATTGTGATGTGAAAAAGGCTTTTCTAACGTACGCAAGTATATTTTTCTTCTTCTGACATTAGTAATAAAAGACGTACACCAAACGGTTGCAAAGTTTGTTACGACAAAAAAAAAATATTCCCGCCTAAGAGAAACTCGTAAATACGACCCTTTCTTCACGATTAACAAAAGATTTTACGGTAAATCCTTTCCCTTTGCCTGACTCCCATACGAATGCATACCAAACTTAAGGGCCCTACATGAAATGGTTTCACTATGTAGAGAGAACAGGCAAACAAAAAAACATATCCCTGTTATATATATATATATATATATATATATATATATATATATATATATATATACTGAAGCGACGTCATTTTCCCCATCTTCACAAATATTTAAAAAATCTGATGTTCTTATTTGGAATCATGGCGCTGATGGTTTTTAGCGAAAGGAGGGCGTCGAGGTTGAAAAGGCAGGGTACAAGGAATCTAATAGACAGTAGCACCAACGGCACGGCGCCGCTTGTCAGCCACGGGAGATTTCGGTAGATTCTGTTACGCAAGATAGATTACTTGCACAGGGAATGGGTACGGGTAAAGGCACGGCAGGGTGGTGGGGTGGCATGAAAGGGTAAGTGACGCCGTGAAGGAGCAGGAACAGAAGATACCCTTAAAGTGACAAAGAAAAGAAGATCTAAAGAAAGAATTTTAAAAAAAGACGAAAAGTGAGAGCAAAAAGAAGCAGTAAAAAATTAAATTAAAAAATGTTTCTCTTTGTTTAAATTCGCTTCTTTATTTAAAAAGAATTCCGTTTACCGGTCTCACCGTCTTGAAGGAAGACAACGACTTTAATAACACATTTGACTAAATGGAATTGATAAACATACGTACACTGTTGATAATACGGCGTGGATGAATAAATTCAAAGAAAACCTGAGAAGGACAAATAATTTAAATAAGATAACCTTGCCTATTATTGTGCTAGATCGACCTTCAATAAGCAATTATATTTAACCTAATTTTTTAAAAAGTCATTTCACCTCAAGCAAGGCAATAAAGCCACTAAGATATATATGGGGTTACTGAGTGTGAAAGAATCTGAGAAAAAAAATTCTTAAGGAGAGAGAGGACAATAAAAGAACATGATTCAAGGAGACAGAAGATGACGAATAACGTTTCATTTACATTTTTAGACATCAGCGTTGACTGGAAAACAAGGAGCCAGAGGAGAGTTCAAGAAATGCGAGAGAAGAAACTGCTAACATAAGACTTACGGTTGCATCTAGCAATTTCAATTGTAAAATGATGAGACCTATCTGCCAATCTAGTACTGAGCTTAATTTCTTAAAGTCGAAGTACTATAACGGTAGATAAAGTACTAACAATAAATCAATGATGGTCTTCTGGTGGTTCAATGAGGAATGAGGTGTACTTAAGAAAGTATTGGGATCACTATTTTACTCAATTAGGCTTATTTTATTTAGACAACTGTTTCATTTAAACTGCTGTCTCCTTGGGACTCAGTACCGTGGACTCAGTCGACGGTAATCAAGCCACGTTTTCTTTCTTCCATGATACTTGACAAGATAAACTTGTAGACAAGTTTGCTTCAGTATTGAACTTAGCGAGTATCTCGACACCATAGCCTTGTGCCAAATTGTCTGGTTTCTGTCAAGGTTGACAATGATGTAACAGCTTCCTCCTACTATTTGTTTTACACTATTACGACTGATGAGGCGTGAATTGTTCATGTAAGAGAGTGCACACACACTTTTCCTTATCAATCAGCAAGGCATGTTGGAAACATTTTGTCTTGTAGCAAGAACATAAGTGCAATGTGAACAAAACAAGCCTAAGTCGAAAGTAATTCGCAGATTTCTTTTACGTGCTAATAACCATGACGCCATAGCATACATCTTAACCACTACGTCATACCAGCCATCATTACGACGTCAGGTCATCTATCATAACCATTGTGTCCTACCATCAATCTTAACAACTACACCATACTAGCTATCATAACCAGTACGCCATACCAGCCCTCATGACTACGACATCAGGTCAACCATCATAAACACTGTGCAATATCATCCATCATAATCACAACATACCAGCTATCATAACCACTACGTCATACCAGCCATCATGACTACGACGTCAGGTCATCCGTCATAACCACTGTGCCATACCATCCATCATAATCACTATACCAAACGATCCATCATAACCACTGTGCCATAGCATCAGTCTTAACCACTACACCATACTAACTATCATAACCACTGTGCCATACCATCCATCATAACCACTGTGCCAGACCATCAATCTTAACCACTACACCATACTAGCTATCATAACCACTGTGCCATACCATCCACCATAACCACTGTGCCATAGCATCAATCTTAACCACTACACCATACTAGCTATCATAACCACTACGTCATACCAGACATCATGACTACGACGTCAGGTCATCCGTCATAACCACTGTGTCATACAATCCATCATAACCACTGTGCCATATCATCAATCTTAACCATTGCACTATACTAGCTATCATAACCACTGTGCCATACCAGCCATCAGCATGATTGCAGTATAGACCACTGATGGGTTCTGTGGGTGCTAAATAAATATAAATGTGTCTGAGCAGGTGTCTACAACAGGGATTAGGTAACCAACGGAAATGGCGAGTGGGCTCAGAAACTTGTGCCCAGCTACTTTTATCGAGACGTTAATTTCGTATTGACAATGTCAGAGTTGGCACAATATAAATTTCCCATTAAATGATAGTTTCGAAAAATATGCAAAACTTATAAGCGGTTGCAGCAATAATTGGTACCCATTTTGGAAAACTGACAAATGAATTTCTCAACAATGACAATCACCAAAGTTAATTTTTTTGGCCTGATATCAAAATCAGTCGAAAATGTTTTGATGGAAAACATGACATGTCATCTCAAAAGAATTAAATATTTGTCATCAGATTTCAGTGTCAAACTTTAATGATCTAAATAAAAATTCTTATAGACACACATAGATTATTAACCTTTGTTAAGATTGACTATAATGCTAACATATTTTGATAGTATGAAAAATTAAAAGCGGGTCAGATTGTAATTCGATGATTTTCTTGTCATTACAGTGATACTGTTTTCAACATTTTATTCGAAACTTTTAATTTTACAAAAACTCGTTTCAGACAGGGTTGTTGATTTTTTATTAAAAAAAACGGAAATTTTATTTAAATCAGATTTTTTTTTTAATTTAAATTTGAATTGTTTTTATGTAAGGCAAACAAGAAAAAGAATAAAGCTGAGATGAATAGATTGAGAGATAATCAACGGGAATAGTAGGAGAATTGTAGATTGCCAAATGAACAAAATATTTGGCTACAACATCTGGCTGATTTCTCCCAATTTGATCGATAAAAATCTATATTTAAAGATGGATGTATCTACATTCAACTTATAAAATCAATGTCAACACATTTAACAGAATTTACAGAACAAACACTTGTTTGCGTTGCCATTGCCACTAAAAATTGCATTTAAATTTTTTTTAAAACAACTTCAGTAATGAAATTCTTTGTCATAGAATATTCGCAAGTTAAGACGTGGAAGGAAATTTCCTAAATACTTAATAAAAGGTGTGATTGGAAATTAAGAAGGCCCCTGGTGGATTTTTCTCAAAAAACGAATAGTTGTCATGACCCTTCTATTTTGAAACTCAAATATAGGTAGATTGTAGATGATCTGATCCAAAGCGGAAGTGTGAATCCAAAATATAAAAATATTCCGAACGTTTTCCATGTATACTACCCAAAGATCCAGGTATACTAATTACCCTGCTTATGAATGACCAACCGAGGTATTTGCTATGGCCACGAAGATAGAACCGTTCAAGGCTGGCAGGTGTCATATGTCCAACAATAGCAACACTTGAAGAAAGAAGAACAGAAATGTTCCCATCTTTTCTATGATTTTTACATTATACTGCAGTTATTTTTCTTTTTGATTATTGTTTTTATTTTTGGTAAAAAACAAAAACAAACAGTTAATGTTCATTTAATTATATTTCTCATCTAATATTTGTAGTTCAGAGGAGCTACACGCTTTAGTTATCCCAGTTCATGTCTTTGTAGCTAGGACTAGCTATGCGACATTCACAAAGTCAAATCACTCACATTCCCTCGGAGGAGGAAGTTCTCAAAGAGATTTTTCTCATGAACGAGAAATAAGGTAGCCAACCTTGCACTGAAATAATCTACAGAAGAACTGTTTTCCCAATTACAGCCGCTAGCAGAATCTTTGGATAAAATTCAGAGTGACAAATGCACCATTGTTGAAACCGTGGATATTTGGAAAGAATTGTTCAAATATTCCGAAAAATAAGATAGAAATGATGAAAAAGATCCAAGTATTCAATCTGTAAAGCCCACTTTCTTTCTAATATGTCTCTCATCCTTATCTTCAAAGAAAGTTATTAATCAAGGAAGAAGTAAATATTGCGATGGAATATGCGAGTGAGAAATATCCCATACTTTTTTCCATTATTATGAAGTTGTAAACAAAATTTCCTCCTTTCCAGGCATTTCAATTTAAAGACGGTCTCCAATATTGAATGATGGTATTCGCAAGCAAGTGCTATACTTTTTGCAGTTAATCAACTTTTGTCAGCAGTGGCATCACCTTCTGAACGAATTTTCTCGTCGAACTGACTGGTGAATTTCAAGCAATGAATACCAACTCTACTTATGTTGAAGGATTAAAAAATACTTAAGCATAATGAACAAAATATTTATTACATCAATACCTCACATTTTATTTTATAGTAAAAAAAGGAAAAATATTTAATTCAATATGTGACACTTTCCTTCCTTCACGACATTAGCTGAAAACAACAAAAGACGTGATTTAAGTTATATTTAAAAATCTTTCGTTTAAAAATCTTTGATTTAAAAATCTTTGATTTAAAAATCTTTTGCTTTAAATCATGTTTTTTGAATCAGTTTTTTTTTTTAAAAAATAATTTAATTTAATTCGCGATTTACTTCAATGATTAAAATCAATTTGATTTAAATCTAATATACATGGTTTCAGAACAGAACAAACAATACAAATTCTCTTTATAACTTTTGGTTCAAAGCATTTCTCTTTTGAAAACATTGTGCTCATTCTGCAATTGTAATTTTGAAATGAAAAATTATTTTAGATAGTGCTCGGTAATCTTGGAAACTGGTGAAATTCCTGATAGTTTTTCTATATCGTAAAAGTGACAAGTTGTCGGCTATAATGCATACATCTTACGTGAAGTATCCTTTGCATTAATAACAAATATTTTCGTAAATCTCTTGATTATGTTTTTTAAAAAAATAGCAGAAAAAAGTGGCTAATAATGTGAGATGTCATGCGTATATATAGAAAGTCATGTGTACATACATACCTTTTGATATCGAGTACTTTATGAAAAAAAACTGCTAAAAAATGTCATTCCACCAATAAACTACGGAAAAAGAATCGACAATTTCTGCACCTAAAAAACTCTTACAATTTAATACTGTATATATATATATATATATATATATATATATATATATATATATAAGTGGAAATAAAGTCAGTCGTTCACCTGTGAACTAACTGCACGGTTTAACTCTCTTCCTACGGGCGGAGTCTCCTTCGGGAGGTA